CAAGGTTTATTTTCCATTTATTTTCGGAATGCCTCATTTCCACTTTCTTATAGCTTTCTGGCCCACGTGTGATAATGTCCTAGGACGTTTTCACACGGGGCTTTTTGAGGAGGCTAGCCGGCCTCACTCCGGCCCCACTCCGTCTCCATTTTCCGGGTGTTCACACACACGCGGCGGCAAACCCCGCCCCTCCTGACGTCATCCCTGCGTCAGGCCGGCTTTTGGCTCCGTGTGTTCAAACGCACGGAGCCCTAAGTCCGGCGTCACTCCGGCGGAGGCAGGCTAATTCCTGGCTAACGCCGGCTTCAGGTAATGCCGGGTGGCAAAAGGAATTAGCCTTTCGGCGGCGGAGTCATTCCGGCGTCGGTGGCACGGGGATCCAGCCGGCTTTAGGGGAAGGACTCCAGCCGGTTTTAGGGACCCCGTGTGAAAACGTCCCTAGAAATCTTTAGGTCCTCCAGCACAACCCTATGGTAAACATCTGCTGGAAGCCGACCTTAGAATTAGGTTGGCAGAGCTACAAATGCCTAGCAAAGCATTCTCTGTATAAATCTCTGGGTCCTCCAGTGCAACCTCTGACAAAGGTTGGTCATAGAGTCACGCTGGACAAATCAGATCCCTAGAGATAACATATTAATCAAATCTGCAAATAATCAAATCCACAAAAGTCAGAGCCACAAATGTGGAGGGCCAACTGTATCTGTGTTCTGGAAACTTCCTTTTATATATTAGCCCAGGAGTAGGCAACCTAAGGTCCGGTGGCCGGACGCCGCCCCCCGCCATGACGATATTGATTATTGTTGTTATTACTTGTTCTTGGGGTTTTCTTGGCAAAATCTCCACAGGGGTTTTGCCATGACTTTTCTGGGGCTGAAAGAGTGTGCACGCTTTTTTTTAAAAAATATTTTTATTGATTGATTGATTTTTGGTGCTTCAGCCCCCCAATTGTCTGAGGGACAGCAACCCGGCCCCTGGCTCAAAAAGGTTGCCTACCCCTGTATTAGCCTGTGGGAAATCCTCCACTAAAGTGTGTTGCGGGGCACAGATCCCTAGCTCATGTGCTAGATACTTTCTTTTTTTACCCTTGAAATACAAAACCAGGCACCTCCTTGGCTCTTTGTTGTTTGGTGCAACCTTCAGTGAAAGGTTGGGCATGCATGCATATATGTGTGTGACTTTTCAAAACTTTATTCACTGGGGCGTTTCACACTACGCGATAACAGTGGTATATTCACTTTAACTGCACAGCTGCACTGGGGTTTGCAGTTCAGTGAGGCACCAGAGGAGCTCTTTGGCTGAGAATTCTAAATATCTATTCCCAAACTGCAAATCCCAAGATTTCATAACATATTGCCAATGCGGTTAAAGTGGAATATGATGCTATAATTCGATTCCCCAGGCATCCCTTTTGCTGCAGCAAATAAAGAAAACTCTGGATCTTCCCCCCTGGCGTGACTCATTTTGGCATAGGTTGCACAGGGGCAACTGACCCAAGTTGGCTCAAGAACAACATAAGAGCCCAGTGTCTCAGGACTGAGAGCTACCATGTGGCCAATAGCTATTGATACCTGTGCGAGAGAGTGTGTTGTGTATCTTCCAGAGGCTGGATGGCCATCTGTTGGGGATGCTTTGATTGGGAGTTCCTGCATGGTAGGGGATTGGACTGGATAGCCCTTGTGGTCTCTTCCAACTCTATGATTCTATGATTCAAGTCTGTTCCAATTTATGGCAACCCTAAGGGGGTTTTCTTTTGTTCACAGGGTTTGCCCCTGCCTTCCTGAGGTTGAGAGTGTGTGACTTGCCCAAGATCATCCAGTGGCCAAGTGGGAATTGAACTCTGGTCTCTAGAGTCGTAGTCCAACGTCCAAACCACTATGCCATGCTGGCTCTACTGATGCCTACCTCTCTTTAAAATTGATTTATCTTTTCTTCAGAGAATCTGGTTTCACTATATTCTGTGACAGCAAGTCATGTTAATTACGACTTCTGTGAAGAAGTACTTCCTTTTGTCTGACCTGAACTTACCACTAATCAATTACATTGCATAACCCACATTTTAGCATTACGAGAATAGGAAGGGGTGGCGGGGGGGGGGGGGAGAATCTCTTCCCATTTTCTCTACACCAGACATAATTTTAAGGACCTCTATTATGTTCCTCTGTAGCCATCCTTATCTTCCAAACTAAAATGCACTGTTAACTTATGAAATTCTCGGTCCCACAATGTGGTAACAGCCTCCAGGCTCAAACTGAGATGGCTTGAAAAGGGTATTATACACATTAAATGGAGGATAAAAATATCAGAGTCAAAGAGGGATTATGATAACTATATAGTACCCCCAAGATCAGAGGCAGTAAGCCTCTGAATGGCACTTTCTGGGGAAGAACAGCAGGAGGTGTGACTGCCTTCAGGCTCTGCTTTTGAGGCATCTTTCTGGCCACTGTGGGAAAAAAGGAGCTGGACTAGAAAGGCCCTTTGGTCTGTTCCATCAGGGCTCTTCTGCTATAAACCAGAAATGCTTTAATGTTTCCCCACAGAAAAGGGAGTCTGATCCTACTGACATTTTCCATTTGACATTTTCTGTATCACCCCAGAGCCTCCTGTTGCGTGCCTTCAAGTCGTTTCCGACTCATGGCGAGCCTAAGGTGAACCTATGATGGGGCTCTCTTGGCAAGCAAGAATGCATGAAGTTTGTTGTTAACAAACCTGTGGATGAGGCATCTCCAAGATCCCCTGTCCCCCACTGCTCTGCGTGGTGGTGGTAGTGGGTGCCTTCAAGTCATTTCCGACTTATGGTGAACCTATCACAGGGTTTCCTTGGCAAGATTTGTTTAGAGGAGGTTTGCCATTGCCTTTCCTTGAGGCTGAGAGCATGTGACTTGTCCAAGGTCACCCAGTGGGTTTCATGGCCAAGCTGGCAATCAAACCCTGCTCTCCAGGGTCATACCACTCAAACCACTACGTCACACTGTCTCTACTAATACGTAACCTTGTTGTTACTTGCCATCAAGTCAGCCTGGACATATGGTGACCCTAATAAATGAGAGACCTCCAAGAGGCTGGATTATTAACATCCCTGCTCACATCTTGCAAACTCAGGGCTGTGGCTTCCTTTATTGAATCAATCCGACTGTAATGTCGTCTTCCTTTACCCAGCTACCTTCAGCTTCACTGAGCATTACTGTCATTTCCACAGTCTCATGTTTTCTCATGACATGCCCAAAGTACAATAGACTCAGATGAGTCATTTTTGGCTTCTAGGGATAATTCAGTCTTGATTTGCTCTCAGACCCCTTCATTTGTCTTTTGGGGGGAGCACTATGTCAGAAGAACTCTGCTGCAGCTCCACATTACAAACAAATTGATTTTTTCGATGACAGGTTTCTGCATTGTTCCACTTTTGCAGAATTCATGTACCAAAATGAGAAATACTATGGTGTGTATGGTTTTGACACTAGTATTCAATGATTAATCTTTACACTTGAGGATCTTCTGGTTCCTATATAGCTGCCCTTCCAAATCTTAGCCTTCTTGTGATTTCTTGGTTACAGTGTCCATTTTGATTTATGATTGATCCAAGGTGCAGAAAATCTTTAATTAAGAGTCAGCCCTCCGTATCCACAGATTTTTTAATCCACGGGCTCAAGCATCCATGGTTTGAAAACATTTTTAATAATATATAAATTCCCAAAAGCAAATCTTGATTTTTGCCATTTTATTTAAGGGACACCATTTTACTACGCCATGGTATATAATGGGACTTGAGAATCCATGGATTTTGGTACTCATGGGGTTGGGGTTCCTGGAACCAAACCCCAGCAGATACCAAGGGCCCACTGTATTTTAATGCCTTCACCATTCATATTTTAGTTATAGAATGAATCTGTGGTCATTATTATTGTTTACTTAATATTCAACTTGAGATGTAGTGATGGAGAAGAATGCTAAGGATTCTGTGGACAACCAAAAAGACAAATAATTGAGTCCTAGAACAGATCAAGCCAGAAATCTCCCTGGAAGCCAAGATGACAAAATTGAGGTTGTCATACTTTGGACACACCATGAGATGGCATGACAATGGAAAAAACAATAATGCTAGGAAAGATGGAGGGAAACAGAAAGAGAGGAAGGCCGCATGCTAGATGGACTCTTATTAGGGAGATCAAGTGTATGAGTTTGCAAGAACTAAAGAGGACAGGAAATCTTGGAGATATCTCACCCACTGGGTCGCCATGGATCGAAATCGACTCGAGGGCAGTTAACAACAACCACATATCTTAAACTGTTCTTTTCCTCAATGTTTATTTCCTTCTGAGTGTAGTCTCACTTTCTGCATTAATGTAGCCTTGACTTGTCCCTGTACTTCAGAATGAGCAATCTTCCCCCATTCTACAACCTGAATATCATCTGTTTATCATAAAAGATCGTATATTATTATTTTTATCAGCCATTTGAGACAAGTATTGCTTGCTCATGGATGCTCTCAAATGATCAGAACATTTGCATTAATGTTGTACCAGCATTTCTGTGCAATTATTCTCTGAAACACTTCAGAATGTGCAAACACCAGACAAAAGCTGTGTGAAAATATTCACACAAATATTCAGAAAACTATAGAAATTATTTGTCTTTATATGCAAGGACAAAATATTGATGTTAAAGATTTAAATCTCTACCTTAAAGTGACTAAAATATAGATTAGTAATAGTAAATACCGTTCTCCTTTTTTTTTGTGAGTCCTGTTAAAGCCTCCTATGTTAACTTCCAAATCTACATAAGAAACAAGTAGAGCCAGAAAAAGTAACTTTTTTTTACAACTCCTAGAATCCCAGAACTCAAAGTTGGTGGACCTGCAGGGCAAAAAAGTAAATTCTCCAAGCTTGGCAAACACTAAAAACAACAACAAGGAAAACCACCCTGTCTATTTTATATTCTCACAGTGTAATCGTGTAGAAATTTACTGCGGAAGAAGTCCTACTGACTACAGCAGGGAATTACTTCTGCATAGACATGTTTATACTTGCGCTTCAAAACTAAACTAAATTGGCCAAATATTTGTATTGGTAAGTGTCACTACTTATTTACCTAATTTTTATAGTTCACGCGTATGGCTTGGGGTCAATATAAATGTCAACATTTTAAAAATAAATAGAAAACACTTAAATATAAATGTATACATATTTAATTAGATTCTAAAAGAGCCACTTCCTGAACTCTAAAATAATCTAATGTGATGGTTAAGAACCACTTTCTCAGCCTTACCCACTGTGTCTTCCTGACTGATAAAATCTTTTCTAATGCTGCATACAGATGAAAGAGAAGCAAGCGCAAGGACAGGGCTGGGGGGCGGGTGAGTAAAGAAATAAGTTATCAAGAAGATATGTTTAGTTCCTGCAAAGGTTTGTAAACTAATATACATGTGTGTGTGCCTTCAAGTCAACTGTTGACTTATGGTGACCGCATGAACTTCACAAAGTTTTCAAAGGCATGGTGGTTTCTCACTGTCGTCTTCTGAAATACAACATATAGCACCTGGTGGGCAAGTCACACTCTCTCAGTCTCAGGATAAGACAATAGCAACTTCCTTTGAACAAATCTTGCCCAAAAAAAAAAAAAAAAAAA